TATTCAGACCAAAATAATAACAATATAGTTGGCTTTCTATTTTAAAGTATTTAATGGCTTTCTAGTCTTTATAGGCAAGTCTTAATCAATGGTTATGAAACATGCCATTTGTGTCTGTAAATTAACTATTAATAAATGTATGGATTTGCCGTGTCATTTGCTGTTTTCTCCCTCATCAAAAGAACCTACTTGACTGCTTACAGATGCTTCCCCACCACATACAACATTACCTGTTAAACAAAATGGGCAATTGAGCCTGGATCACACTTTGTGGCAATATTACTTCCAGGATTTTTTTATGTCAACACTGTTCTAACCCTTTTTTCTGATGAAGGGTCTAGGCCCGAAACGTCAGCCTCGCTGCTCCTATGATGCTGCTTGGCCTGCTGTGTTCATCCAGCCCTGCACCTTGTTGTCTCAGATTCTCCAGCATCTGCAGTCCCTACTATCTCCTATTAATTGATGTTTGTTTGTTTTAAAATACATTGTATTGTTTATTGCATACTTTAATGTGAGCCATAACTTTTTGGGCTTTCAATGGGTTTTATTTGCTGCTTTTTTGTAGGAATGACAGTGATGGAGAGGTTGATAATTCAGAGAAGAAGAAATTACAGAGTCAGCTCCAAGGTAACTGGCAAAATGATTTTTATATTTAAAAACCTATTTGGTTGTAACTTGCTGCTTTCAGTGTAATAGAATTAAGTAGGTGTTAGATTCAGCTTTCAACTATCTAAGAGCTTCTTAGTAACTATCAAGGTAAGTTGCTTGGATCTGTCCCAAGAATTCAACTCTTAAGTTCTCATGTAGGTAGGCATGCATGTCAGGGCTTCCTCTAGGAGCCTGTTGTACATCCAGTGTCAATATGTATGTATTCCTTCATATATCTGATGATCTGCACACCAACAGTTTAAGCCATGGTGTTTTTATTTCATTGTTATTGCTGTTCCCACTATTCCAAGTCCAAGTCCAATCTCCCTGAGGGCACATTACCCTTTTGATTTGAATGAGGCCAGATAATTCAGTTCACATTAGGGATGCTTGCAAACTACCTGGTTTTGGTTTGAGTCATTCAGGTGGGGCAGATTTGCCTTCATTTCAGATCTTATCGTGTGCCTAAAGGCTTACACAGCCTGACTTGAACCACGCAGCATACGTTTAACTGACACTATACACAGAATTGGACAACTGTATCAAACTCATTTGGAAGAAGCTGAAATCTCTAATTTAAAAAAAATCTGTGAAGAAACCATTTGAAAAGATAGCAATTTTCTAGTTTAATCACATCATAAAAAAATGTAATTTTGTGTATTGTACTTAAACACTGACTGACAGAAATTTCATTTGAGGGGGGTTAAAAAAGGACATGTCAAAAGAATTTTCAGAAAGTACTTTAAGGTTTGTGGCACGAAAGTGCAATGTGCTCCCCAACCCCCCATCAAAGAGTAAATAAGTTATTAAGTTATATAATGTTGTGCTGTCACAGGCATAACATACTGCAGCAACAATAAAACTTAAATGAAATGTACCTTTGTTTTGAGTCCTACATATTATAGATGTTTAGAATTTGCACGGCATCTGAACAAATAGATGGTAATTATAAACTTCAGTTTATAAAGGACAGATCGCAGATGATTTTATTTTTTGCTCCTCTTTTAAACTTCACACTTAAGTGCTTTCTCCCACTCAAAACCTAACCCTTTAGGTGAAACAGGAATTATTTTTCTCATCAGACTTCCAAACAGGGCTCATTTTTATTCCTTAGTTCTTTTATAAAGGGCTGGAAATTGAAAGAAAAATTGAGTTTTGTTTGTCAACTGTTCTGATTTTATCAATTCCTTATCTATTTATGATTATTAATATTACAACATCATGCAAATTCTTGATAAAATTACTTCGTGGGTAGACCTCCATGTGCCTTATTTTGAAAAAAATAACTAACTGGTCAATAAGTCTGGATCAGTTTTAGTTCCTAACTGAATTTTAGCCTTTCTTCCATTGACATCTTCACCTATGCTTCATGCACTTAGTCTTTTACTTGACTGTATTGCTGACTAGATTACCTGCAACATCCACTGTCCTAACCCAACCTGTCCGAAACACATCATTCCTATCCTTCACCAAGACCCAATCTCCCATCACCCCTTCCTTGGCCTAAATTGCTCAAAACCGATAAGTGTTAAGTTTGAAATTTATGTCTCAACCTTTAATTCTTTCCATGCCTTATGCTTCCCAATTTCTGTGACTTCCTGTAACCCTATTTGTATTTGCTCCTTATCGCACCTCCATCCATTCATTCTGTCCTCTTAAATTCCCTCTATCCTTTGTCCCACTATTGGTGGTCATGTAAATCTCACTATCAGTTTCTTTCTCGCTTTTCTTCCCATTTTTTTGACATTGTTTAAAATCCACTGCTTAGCCAAGCCTCTCAACCTCTAATTTCTATTTCGACGGAACAATTTGGGGAAACCTGTGTACATTAAAGACACTATGTAAGCCAAGCCTTTTTGTTTCAGTCCTGTTTGATTTAACTTATTCAATAAACACAACAATTCCGTGTCAGCTTCCTAGAAGAGTGAGGATCCTAAATTCTCAAAATTTGGAGCTATTGATGGCATTGAAGCTGGTAATCTAACCATCAATATGCAAAGTGAAACAGGTGAAGGAATAAATTAATTATTTCAACTTTTTTATGATTAGTAATATGCAACTACTGAACTTGTGCTCCTTGTATCTTTATAAATACCTTTTTATTGTTTAGGTGCCATTGTTATGGAGAAGCCAAATGTGGGTTGGAATGACATTGCCGGTCTGGAAGGTGCCAAAGAAGCTCTTAAAGAGGCTGTGATTTTGCCCATCAAGTTTCCTCATCTCTTCACAGGTTGGTAACTACTTAAGTCTCTTACTAAAAATCTTGTAAAAGGCCTGAATTCTCTTGAAATTTGCTGTATAAATGTTTTTATTGGCAAGTCCATTGTCAACTTGGATCTCTGTTACTAATACTCAAAGTACTCAGGCAGTGGATGCATTCACCCCTGCACGTGAAAGAAGACCCAGGCATAACCAATCACAGGGATACCCAACTGGGAAAAAGGAGAAAGAGAGATAGACAGTATCTGTAAGGAGCTACTCCTCCAATCATAGCATGTATCTCTCATGCTCTCCCAGTCACCAATTAATGTGAGCAGTGCGTGAGAAACAATCAGGAGCAATGTGGGAGAGGAGCAGCAGCAGCTGGGAAAATAATTAGCCGTGTGCATGCTGGCAGACTGCCATTGGCTGGTCTGGCTCGTGCTGTTAGCTGTGGGGAGGAGGGTGAAATGAGGTTACAAAAGTGGAGGCTGCAGGAGATGATCAGTGAGAAAGAGGCTGCAAAGAGAGGCAAGAAAGAAATTTTGAAAAGTGGGGAAGAAGGAGGTTGTAACATAAAGAATGCTGGAAGGGTAATGAGGGAAGTAGAAGGCTGCAAGTATGAGAAAAGGAGAAGGTTGCAAAGGATGTGAAGGAGAAAGAAGAGGCGTCAAGGATCAGGGGAGAAAAGGAAGGAGGTGTCTTCAAGAGTTGGGGAGGGAAGAAATAGGAGGGTCACTTTTTTTTTTTCTTTTTAAAAGGCAAGTTGGAATATTGTTCTTTTGAGTTTGACTGTAACTTCACCCGGTGAAATGACATGAGCTTAGTTCTTTGATTAGTAGCTGATGTAGCTTCCATTTATTTTGTTTGGCTTTGATTGTAAAGGTCTTTTTTTTAAGCAGGGTTTGGAATTGAACTTTTAAGATATTTATCTCTCCAGGCAAAAGAACTCCATGGAGAGGAATCCTTCTGTTTGGTCCACCTGGAACTGGCAAGTCTTACCTGGCGAAAGCTGTGGCAAAAGAAGCAAACAACTCAACATTTTTCTCAATCTCCTCCTCTGACCTGGTTTCGAAATGGCTTGGAGAAAGTGAAAAGTGAGTTTCTATCATGCTGACTTTATGGAACTTTAATATTATCTTGCACAATTGCCTATTTGTAGGAAACAAATGTTTCCTGCCTGTTCTTTTTAAGAGCTATTTCTGAAAAGTATTGCACTTGATGGTTTCTGTATGATTTCAATCCAGGTCAAAGTGTTAACCCATACAAAGTACAATTAATGTAGTAAGATTGTTAATACCACTTGGCCACTTGGGTTTATGTGAATCTGTACAAAGTAGCTGCCTTGATGCTATTTCAATCAACAGTCTGATGAAGGCAGATGTTGATCAATAAATGGCATAAATGAAATTGAGTCCACTCAAGTTTCCCAAAATGCTGCGCTCTATGTCCGTTAGTTAAGTCTTAATAAAGCTTGAGTGATAAATCTATGCATGCGTGTATATGGACAAGGTCGTGAGCCAGTGGTTCCTGGGTTCAAGTCCCAACTGCTGTAAATCTGTGCAATAACATCTCTGAGCAGGTTGGTTCGAAAATATCTATAATGTAATTGGACAAAAGTCTTTAGTAACTCACTCTACAAAGTTGAGCCATAATCTGCAACTACGTTGTGGGCATTGAGGGAAAAAAAAGTGAGGAAAGGTTACTGGTAAATCGTAATCCAGAAATGTGATGATAAAATCCTTGCAAAAAGGAAGTAAGATTTATGAATGTGAATTGGTTTCCAAGATTTTTCAGATGTAAAGTCTATCTCAAGCATTTGGTAGCTATATCACAGGAGTGTTGTCACTATAAATACATACATTTAATCACTTCTGTATTTCTACTTTTGATTTATTCAGGTTGGTAAAGAATTTATTTCAGCTTGCCCGAGAGCACAAGCCTTCAATTATCTTCATTGATGAGGTTGATTCTCTTTGTGGTTCAAGGAGTGAAAATGAAAGTGAAGCTGCAAGGCGTATTAAAACGGAATTCTTGGTCCAGATGCAGGGTAAGCATCCTTGTTATGGCTAGTCAAATAAGCAGTCTTATTTATGATTTGTATGTAAAGTTTTATTAAGAATCTAAGAAACTAAAGAATGGAGTCGTACAAATTCATACAGGCCACCAGACCAAATACTTCACTGTAGTTGGCTAGTTCTTTAATTGGGAGCATTATCCAACCAAGTAGTCTTCTACAAAGAGGTTTTTGAAATTCTCTGACTCCTTGCTTAACAGCAAATGAAGTTGGGTTTCCAGAATCTCAGCGAAATATTATATCCTTTGTTCTTTGGTTGTTTCCTGTGACATGATGTTTCTGTGGTGTTAAAAAAAATTGTGCATCACAGAACTGTGATCCCTTTTTTATTTAACAAACTTCAAAATTGTTCCAAATATTTATGTAGTTCTTATTGTAAAAGCTGTTGATCAACACAGCATAAACAGATTTTGCTGGGTATCTGTTCCTCCCAGCCACTGTAATAGGGAGAGGCAATGAAATTCTAAATTTATTTGAGGGTCAATTTTGTCTTGACAAGTTCCAAATTTACAATTGAAGCCCGCACCTGTATCATGCAAAAACAGAGAATTTTCATTTCTATGAACTCTGAGCTGCAGAGAGTATCCTAATGCATGAATATCAAAGGGTTTGTAGGTTTTGCAAGTACGGTGAGTAATTAGGAAAGTTAATAGAATATTGCTTATTAGGAGGATAATTGAATACAAAAATGAGCATGTTATATTTAGATTGTACATGGCATTGATGAGATGACACCTGGAGTACTGTTTCTACTTAAGGAAGGATGTAAATCTATTGGAAACCCTTCAGAGAAGGGTTATTAGACTGTTACCTGGAATGGATGGGTGCGTTATGAGGGAATGTTTGATGGGTTAGGCTTGTATTCACAGTTTAGAGTAAAAGGTGACTTGTTTAAAATGTGTGATCCTGAGGGATCTTGACAGTGCATGTGGAAAGGATGTTTCTTCTTTTAAGAAAATCTAGAACTGTGGATCATTGTTTGAAAAAAAAGAGGTTGACCATTGAAAAGAGATAAGGATTTATTTTCCTCACGAAAGGTAATGCGTCTTTGGAAATCTCTGCTTCTACCACCTTCAAAGAGTCCTTGAATATTTTTATGGCAGAGCTAGTTAGATTCTTGTAAGGGGGGTGGGGAGGGAGTATTATTGCAAATATGTGGGCATATGGAGTAACTGGATCAGTCAGAATCTTGCTGAAGGATGCAGCAGGCTTGAGTGTCCTACTCCAAATTCGTATGCTTGTATTCAGATCTAAATTGATTTCTCTTTTTTTTTAATGACCATTTATTTTAAAGTATGGATTTGAACTAGTGGCATGTGAGTTTTGGTCTGTGTCTGAAGGGATTTATTTATTATCTTGTGGGTACTTCTTTAGCCACAATGATTTCTTTTAAAATAACAAGTCTGAGAGATTTCTTGAAAGCTGATGGGAATTTGTTTTCATTGGGATATTTTTCACCAACAAACAAAGTAAACAGTTATGCATTAGGAGATCAATTTGGAAGTTTCTGGAAATTATTTTTCTTTTGATTAGGGGAACACCCATAATTAGGGGCAAAAATGCTTTAGGGTTTTCAAATGTCTTAGCAAAATCTGGATGTGCACAATAAATGCTCCTGAGAAAGGGTAATAGTTTAGAACAGTTAAGAAATTACTTACCTCAGTGTAATGAGTGTAGTTTTAAAGTTCTATAACATTTGTTTGGTTAAGCCCTGAAGGGATTGTTTGAAGCTGGGAAAATCTAAGTTCAATTGTATGAAGGCTCAAGGAAGAGGTGATAAGATTCTTGTGTCTGACGAAATCAAACCTTGTATTTAATTGAAAGAGGATTTTCTCTCTAGTGTTGGGATTAATGGGATTGTAGTTTGCTATTTGTTCCAAAATCTTTAAATGCATATTATATGTAAGTAGTTTGGCTTATCCTATTGTTTTCATATCTTTTGCATTATAAACTTCAGTTTCATTGTTAAAATCAAACCTGCAGCACCACATGCTTGTGTTTCAATAAAAGACCACTTCATTAAAAACAAACAAAAACAAAATATGATCTATCAAGCCAGATTTCAGTCTGGAATTTGACTTGTCCAGTAAAAACATCAGCTGGGATCCTAAAAATGTATTAAATACTTCAGACACCAAGCAAAATTAGTATCAGTGGATGAAAGCTATTTGAAAGTTGTAATCACCAGAATACCAAACATTGATCTTTTAAACAAACATTCGTCCCACAAGAAAACCTTGAAATTTGTGCATCTGCATCAAATGCAAGAAAAATACTTCATTAAACTTGCCTATTGCAGCATTTTAGTTTCTCAGCATCATGTCTCCATCCATCAGTTCTCCTGACGTGGCACTATTTCAAAATCAACAGTGTGTCTGAATTGAACACCTGTTGTGATTTCTGCCGTTAGTGTTTTAGTGAAAAATATTTAGCTCCTTCCTGTATTGATGAACCTTTGCTACCTTATGAACCACAAGCTTTTTTCAATGAATGATCTGACTCTATTGCTGAGTCGTGAACCTAAATATTAGCTGAGATATGTCTAACTATACATGATGGGAATAACAGCCTTAATTTATTTAATCTAAATTACATGTTCTATATTTTCCAACTTGACACATTTCTGATTAAATTTCTTCTATGTCCTGTTATTTATACAATATATCATTACACAATATAACTACTAACAACTTTTGGCAGGTGTTGGAGTGGATAATGAAGGAATCTTGGTACTTGGAGCAACAAATATCCCATGGGTTCTAGATTCTGCCATAAGGAGGAGGTAAACTGCCACTCTTTTTTTTTAAAGCTAATGCTTTGTAAATTAAGTAGCATATGTCACAAGATTACCCACACTGGTAAACAAATTATGACTGCCTATGATCATGCATGCATGATGCTCCTTCTTTATGGCTGACAAACCTGCTGTTAAGGCAACTGAAAGTAATGTGTTATGAAACATTGCACTCCTAAGAATCACAGAGCAATTTTTCACTAAATAATTATCTCACATAACAAAGCTTTTTTGTGCACATTTCATGCTTCTGTTGAATAATTTAATTGTACAAACAGGTGTGAATCTTGGATATGCAACACTACATACAACCACCTGAGATACTTCTACTGTTTCAGAGAGAAGTAACTCATCTAAATGTGAAATCCTGGATGCTTACATCTAACTTATACTTGTATTTATTTGCGAATGATCAATGCTGTCACTGACCACATTAGGAAATTGTTCTCATTTTGTTTTATCATGACTTTCTGTTGATGTTGCAATTTATTTTAAAGTACAAATTTGTTGCAAGATTTGGGGGATAAAAGGTAAGTACCATAAAGATCTATTTAATCACGAGAGAGGTACTTTCTGTGAAGGTCTTAAATTATGTTGGAGGTACTGGTGGTTTCTTAATTTGTTTTGGCCCCTCATTGATAATTAGATAATACTGTAGAATCCTGAATTGTTTTGCATTGTTTATGAATTAACTTATTGCCAATCCTTAATTTCTTCTGAGAACGTGGTGCTGAGCTGCCTTCTTCAATATCTGCAATCATATGATGTAGGTATACCATCAGTGCTGTTAGAGAAGGAATTCTAGGATTTTGATCCAGCAACAGTGAAGGAACAGTAAAATAGTTCCAAGTTAGGATAGTATGTTGCTTGGAGGCAAATATGGTGTCTGCTGCCAGAGTCCTGGTGTGTGGGAGATGTGACTGGTTTGGAAGATGCTGATTTGAGAGTCTTGGTGAGTTATTGTGCATCTTCTGGAATCTACACACTGCTGTCACTGTGCATCAGTGTTGAAGGGAGTGAATGCTGAAGGTTTTGAGCTTCTTGAGTGTTGGAGCTGCATTCATTCAGGCAAGTAGACCGTATTCTATCACACTTCTGATTTGTGCCTTGTAGATGGTGGACAGGCATTATAGAAACCAGAGGTGAATTACTCACTGACCTCTTGTAGCCACAGCATTTATATAGCTGGTCCAGTTCAATTTCTGGTCAGCAGTAATGCCCAGAATGTTGATAACAAGGAATTCAGCAAATATCCAGAGGTGATGGTTAAATCCACTTTTGTCAGAGATGGTCTGGCAAATGTATGGCTGAAATGTTGCTTGCCACTTGTTGGCCTAAGCCCGAGTATTGTTCAGTTCTTGCTGGATTTAGATGTGGATTGCTTCATTATCTGAGGAGTAGTGAATGGCGTTGAACATTATGCAAACATCCCCATTTCTGACTTTACAATGGAAGGAACGTCATTGATGTAGCAGCTGAAGATGGTTGGACCTAGAGTACAAGTCTGAGGAACTCCTGCAGAGATGTCTTGTGGCTGAGATGTTTGTGGTTGTTAGAGGTCAACCATCTTCCTTTGTACTAGGTATGACTTCAGATTGCAGAGATCAGTGACCCTCAGTAATATTGGCTCCAGTTTGCCAGGGCTACTTCATGCCACACGCACTAACATACTGCCTTAATATCAAGGGCAGTCACCTTTTACTTCCTGTTTTGATTACAGTTCTTTTGACCATGTTTAGATTGAGGCCATAATGAAGTTAGGGGTTGTGGGCCTAGCAGAGCCCAAACTGAGCACTGCCAACAATACCTTCCATTGTATTGAAGATTGAGAATAGATTGATGGGATGGTAGCTGACCTGTTCAGTTTGATATGATTTTTGTGGACAGTGCATTCATGGGCAGTTTCAAAATTGGTAGATGCCAGTGTTGTAACTACACTGGAGTAGCTTGGCTAGGAGTGCAAATAATTGTAGAGCACACATCTTTAGTACTGTTGCTGGCATATTATCAGGGCCTATGGTCATTGAACTATCCAGTTCCTTTAGGCATTTTTTAATATCATGTAATGAATCAAATTGTTGAAGGCTATCATCAATGCTGATGAATCATCAATTCTGCTCCTGTTTGAAGATGCTTGCAAGTGCTTCAACTTTGTCTTTTACTCTGATATGCTGAGCACGCCCATAACTAAGGCTGGGGCTACTTTTGGAGCCTTCTGGTGAATTGTTTAATTGTCTTCCATCATTCACAAAACTGAATGTGGAAGGGTTGCAAAGTTTAGTTTTGATGTGCTAGTTGTCACTGCTTGACATAGAAATCATCCTGTAGAAGCAAATTACTGCAGATGCTGGAGAGCACAGCGGGTCAGACAGCATCCATGGGGAGATCGCAAGAAAACATTTTAAATCTCGATCACTCTTCAATAATCCTACATTGCACCTTCACCAAGTTGACGGCTCATTTATCAGTATGCATGGTTCTCTTT